CCCCCCCCAGCATTCCCTTGGCCCCTCACTGTCCTCCCCAAGGGGACCGGAAGACAGAGGATGACAACAAACACCGCAGCAACCGCCCTCAGGTCTCCAGTTACCCCGCCGCAGGAAGCGGCGGCAGAATCGCCCGGCGACCGAAACGTGCGGTCACCCGGGGTGACTGTCGTCGTGGAGACCCCTTCACCGATGCTCCGTCAGATGACCTCAGGACGTGTCTCAGCAGGACAAGACCCCTCTCCCCCCTCCCTTCGTATCTCATAGGAGGTTCCCTACCTGTCGATGATGACAGGGTCAGAGGGGGTCTCGTTGCGATTCCCGCAGCTCTTCTTGTCGCAGCAGCGGCTGTGTTGGGGGGGGGGGGGTTACGGGAGGAGACAGGAAGTGTGAGAGACCGTTCCGCTGCAGCATTACGCGTTTTACACGCTCTTTCACTCTCAAGCTATCGGTCACGAGAGCAAAGACTCAATTAGCTACCGGGGGCACTATGCTTAGCAGCTTGCCTCTCAACGGGGTCCAGATGCAGGGGGGGGTTCCATTACAGCAGAGTAAATGGTGCCCATCCCTGGCAGAGGGACCGGGCGGGGGTGGGGGGGGTGCAGGAGCTGAGGATGATGGGCCATCAAATGAAGAGGGTGGGGGTCAGCCTGGAGCGATCGGACATTAAGGGCCTCGCTCAAGGGCCGACGGTGAACTCGCTCCGCCGACCCTGAGATTTGAACCGACGACGTTCCGCTCTCAGGCACAGCAGCCTCGCCCGCAGAGTGACACTCGTGCTGATCTACGTACGGTTGTCGGAGCCGCTGCTTTGATCTGACTTCTCCTACCTTTAGTTTAACACTGATTTTTTAATCAGATGAGCTGGACATGTAGGTCTGGAGGACACTGTCATGTCTCCTTGCCAGAGTCCACATTTTTGCTCCTGAGGCTGGAAGGGAGCAAAAACGTGGACTGTCTGTGGGCCCCCGAGGACCGGACTGGGAAGCGCCTCTCTACAGAAAAGCTCCTTTCACCTCCTCAAAGGTCTGCAGGAGAAGGAAGAGCCTACACTACCTGTTCACCTTTGCTATTTTAGGAGAGGGTGACATGGCATTCCTCTACCCTGTCCCCAGTGTGGGCCCGCTGGACCGGGCACCACCCACAGGGGGCAGCACTTGAGGCAGGGATATTCAACCATTCAGCCTCATCAATGGGGGGGGGTCAGGATCTTCCCAAGCCCCGCCCCCAATAAATATTATGCTAATGTTATGCTAATAAGTACAGGCATAAAACAAATTCGTTGAGGGTTTTTTTTTTTTTTCCCTCTCGTTAATTTCAATTTCCTCCCAGAGGGCATCCAAGGAAGTCATATCTTTAATCTCTGTGTTTTCTTCCTTGTAAACCTTTTGAAGAAATTTAATCTAAATTGCTCCATGTAATTACCAGGATCTCAGTGATTATAGCTACCATCATAAGTGTTGTCACAGACCGCAACTGAACCCTTTTTCCGGAAGTAAAAAAACATTGGGAAATATCTACACTCACGTCGCCCACGCTTTCCGTCGCCGACATTCGGACACAAAACACACAGCCAAAAGGTTAAAATCACCTCATTTGCGTTTTTACAAATCGTATCGTGAAAGGTTACCTTGGCGCTTTGATGCTAATTTTAGGGAGGAAAAGTGAAGTAATTTTTTTTTTTTCCGTTTGTCCCTGGTTTGAAGAGAAAGGACAAAACTCTCTCACTCATCGCCTGGAAACTGGCTTGGCACCAGATGGCAAATTGAACCACGCAGCAATTAGCAGTACTGATTAATTGTGAACAGACTAATTTTCTGCTTAGGATTCAGATTGCGTTTGTACCCCACACTGCGAGATCAGCACATCTCTGACACCGGAACATGAGCCATGCGTGGTGGGGGGGGGCGTGTAGGGGTCTCGTGTTTTTACAAATTGGCCTTCCTCCACGTCTCATGCTCTCCTCTATGGACTCCAGTGACCCCCAAGCAACACAGTTCAGGCAGGGAAGACGACCTTGGAAGACGAGAGCGTGAGTGTGACGGGAATTATGGGTAAATGTTGGGACTTTCAGATGCAGACACAGGCGTGGGTCCATGTCCTTATCAGGAGCGTGAACAGGGGCGGGGCCAGAGGGACATTAGTCCCACCTGAAACCTGATTGGTCCCCTCTCCTGTCACTCACAGCATATTATGACAAGATTGGCTCCTTGCACACTTTCCCCACCTTAAAAAAATCCTAGAAACAGCTTTACTTCTTATGATGCAGAAGACTTTGGCTATCCCCCTCTATCATTCTGCATGAGTCATGGCTTGAACTTTCTTTTTCAAGGATACCCTTTTCCGAGTATTTCTAAGGCCGAGTATTATATGTTTTAAACTCTCCCCTACGAGAAAAGTATTTATTTATTCAGGATCCAGAAGCGCGCATTCGACTGTGTTTACATTTGTCGGGCATCACATGTTCATTTATGTGTCTGTTTGTGCATGTGGGATTTCTAGCATATTTCATCACCGATATGCGAAGAAACAAGCATTCGTTTCCCCAAATAATAACGCAAAATTTCAAATTGAGTAATGAGTTTCTGCTCAACCTAATTAGCCGGGCACAAGTGAGGTATTTTTAGACAAAAAAAAACTGTGAACACGATTCCCAAGTACTCCTAAAAATAGACAAGCACCTATCCTTGCAACCTAGATTTGAGCAGAAGAATTTTATCTTGTGGGTTTTAATTAAAAGTGCAGGGTTTGATGGCAACTCATCTTCTCGAGTGTCGCTTTTATCTTCGGGGGGGGGGGCGGCTTATGTCTTTTCACAGAAGGCTGTAGATCTGACCTGGTTTACACTGAGGAGGAAGGGGGGGCTGATGGTGCAGGTGAGGAGGGATGTAGGGAATCGGTATCCACGGATACGGGTCTGGCAAGACATTCCAGTGCAAAAAAAAAAAAAAACATATAGAACCTAAGAACATCCGGAAAAGTCTTGAATCCAGGGAGCCTGCAAGCCTGGACCTCAGAGGGGGAAGTGATCAGAAGACGAGGACAGGAACGAAGTACAAACACGGCCACAGATGCCGCTTTTGCCTGGCACGTCTCGCCCGGAGTCCCAAGCTCTAGTTTATCACGGGGAATTATGGGAGAGGCACACGGCGAAATGAAGAGCGAGCATTCTGGCAGAACAGAGCTGCGCAGCCGCATGTCAGGGCGATGGCTGTATGGATGGGGTGACACAGAGCTGCGCAGCCGCTAATCAGGGCAATGCGTGTACAGATGGAGTGACGCAGAGCTGCGCAGCCGCTAATCAGGGCAACGCGTGAACAGATGGAGTGGCGCAGAGCTGCGCAGCCGCTAATCAGGGCAATGCGTGTACAGATGGAGTGACGCAGAGCTGCGCAGCCGCTAATCAGGGCAATGCGGGTATAGATGGAGTGACGCAGAGCTGCACAGCCGCTAATCAGGGCAATGCGTGTACAGATGGAGTGACGCAGAGCTGCGCAGCCGCTAATCAGGGCAAAGCGTGTACAGATGGAGTGATGCAGAGCTGCGCAGCCATTCATCAGGGCAATGGGTGTACAGATGGGGTCATGCAGAGCTGCGCAGTCGCTCATCACGGCGGTGGGGGCAGCACATTGCAGTTTGTCTTACCTGCACATGATCTCGTGCGTAAGTAACACCCGGCACATTTCAGGATTCTTGTCTTGGCCTTCATATATGATCGGCTGCGGAGAGAAGGAACCATTAGTTAAGACCTCCATCTGCCTGCGGAGCCCAATACGCACCGAGGGTCTGTGTGCTCGAGTTCGTCGCTGTGCGAGGGGTGACACTTAACAAGCAAGAGGATAATTACTGAGGCTCTCAGCAGTGACAGCATATGGCTTCACACGGGTGCAGTCAGACTCAGTCAGCACACGCTTCTGAACAACCTTAATTTATTGGTTAAAGAAAAGGAATCACAGCAAATAATTTCACCATTTAACGCTTAAATACATGACTACATATTCTAGTAAAAATCTTTGAGAGATCTTAACGAGGTGTCTGTTACATCTGGAAAGAGATAATTAAAAAAACACAACTATATGTCATTCTTAGCTGCCAATGGTTACATCAGAGATCCAGCTGTGTGGCAGACAAGAGGAACACTGAGTCACTGCAGCAGCTGCCAGCGGAGGGTGGCGTCACCATGCGGACCTGCCTTCAGAGTCACTGAGACGTCGCATGTCAGATGAACAGCAGAAATGCAGTTACATGTTCACCCAGGTCCTCCTCTAACGGCAGTGACCCTGTCACCGAGGTCCTCCTCTAACGGCAGTGACCCTGTCACCGAGGTCCTCCTCTAACGGCAGTGACCGTCACCGAGGTCCTCCTCAAACGGCAGTGACCCTGTCAGGGAGGTCCTCCTCTAACGGCAGTGACCCTGTCACCGAGGTCCTCCTCTAACGGCAGTGACCCTGTCACTGAGGTCCTCCTCTAACGGCAGTGACAGTCACCGAGGTCCTCCTCTAATGGCAGTGACAGTCACCGAGGTCGTCCTCTAACGGCAGTGACCCTGTCACCGAGGTCCTCCTCAAACGGCAGTGACAGTCACCGAGGTCCTCCTCTAATGGCAGTGACCCTGTCACCGAGGTCCTCCTCTAACGGCAGTGACCCTGTCACCGAGGTCCTCCTCTAACGGCAGTGACACTGTCACCGAGGTCCTCCTCTAAGGGCAGTGACCGCTGTCAGCGAGGTCCTCCTCTAACGGCAGTGACCCTGTCACTGAGGTCCTCCTCTAACGGCAGTGACCCTGTCACTGAGGTCCTCCTCTAACGGTAGTGACAGTCAACGAGGTCCTCGTCTGACGGCAGTGACCCTGTCAACGAGGTCCTCCTTTGAATTAAACAAATTAGGGTCAGGTCCCCAGAGATTTAAATATTTATATTAGTGGCAGTTTGTTTGGGACCACGGCAGTGTGCACTTTGTATAACCGGCAGGCGGCGTCATGAGAACGCAGCCAGAAAGGCGTGTGGTGTGAGGACACCAGGCGTGTGGTGTGAAACACGCGGGCGTGGCCCCGTCCTCCTCTCTCGGCTTAAACACGCATGACTCATGTGGCAGGGAGACTCTGCACTTCATATGTTTTTAAGTGTTTTCATATCATCATCATCATCATCATCATCATTGCAGACATATTTTCAGCACACCCAGCCCAACACACAGTGTGAGCTGTGTGTGTGTGTGTGTGTGTGTGTGTGTGTGCGCCGGAGCAGTTGGGCTGCCAGACGCGAAGCTTGCCGCACCATCTGGCCTCAGCTCCCGCTCCTTCCAGAAACTTCACCCCTGTTCATCGCCCACCGCTGCCAAGCTGCAGCGTTCCCCGAGCGCCCGAGCCCACATCGCTTCCCCTAGCGCCCGAGCCCACATCGCTTCCCCGAGCCCACATCGCTTCCCCGAGCACGCCCGAGCCCACATCGCTTCCCCGAGCGCCCCTGAGCCCACATCGCTTCCCCGAGCGCCCGGAGCCCACATCGCTTCCCCGAGCGCCCGAGCCCACATCGCTTCCGCGGCTACCTCTCCCATTATCCCGGGAGGGTCTGACCTCAGGAGGTTTCAGAACAAGCCTGTAGACGGGGACACCTTTCTATCCTGCTCTGATCTCCCTCCATTTTCATGTCAGTGACAGAATGCATAAATTATTTTTTAAAACGTGCTAGAAAATACATTCTTGGGGTTCAGCACACAATGGTTTGGGTTTCAATCCCATTTCTCTCTGCTTTCCAGTTTCCTCCCACAGTTCAAAGACATCCAGTACAGTTAGGGTAACTGGTCACACTAAACTGTCTGTAGTGTGTATGAGCCCTGCAATGGACTAATATCCCATCCAAAATGTCCCTAGCCCCCCTCCAGCAGAAAGATTAACGAATTAATTACCTCTTAACTTATACAAAGAGAAAATCCACCAAGATGCATTGATTCAAACACACATCAGACCCAAGAACTCAAGGATCCATCAGAATAAAGTTCAGATTTCAACAGCTACAAAAACCATATCACGACTCTGAGAACCTTCCGGAAGTCCTCTCAAGGCTGTCAGCAGCGCAGCCACATGTACGCTCAGGAGATACCTCCCATGGCACTTAAAACACAGACATTAACTAGACGGCAGTATTACGGACTGCTAGTTAACCACAAAACCGCTGTGCGACAAACCCAGCAGCTCCCATAATTCTCGGTGCTGGCTTTGAAAGATCTGTAGCTACTGGAGGCCAAAGCACTTTAGAAACAACGCTTTTAGCACGGCAACTGTATCTAAGCGGGTCTGTCGGATGCAAAACTTAAAAACGGCTGAAAATGTAGCTACGGGGATAATGGTGCGGTAAAGGAGCAGAACACGGAATGAAAACAAGGCACTCATTACGGGAGGAGAGAGCATCGGAATGGCTGCCCAGGTTGCCAGGCGACGCCGCTGTTTCGCCTCATTAAGGGGTCAAGCGTCACGCGTCTGAGGGAAACGCTTTGCCATCGCTCCGCATTCTCCCGCCGCCAGCGTTTGTAAACGGACCACTGCAAGCGTAAGAGATTTAGCCGTTCGCGCGCATTCTGTCTGGAGCCGGCGTGCGAATGTTAAGTAAACAAGCTCTTGAATCCGGCCGCGCGATTAATGATGGGAAAATGATTATACGACAGTCCTGACGCCACGGAGAGCGCGACCTAGGAAGGCGCCTCTGTTTACCGGCAGGGGGTTTGGTTTGAGAGCAGCCCTACTGGTCCTTCCCGTTCTTTAGGAGTCCATCCGGAAGAGCGATCCAAATCTGCGCAGTGGGGAGGGGGGCCGGCCATTCCCAGAAATTATAACAAAAGTTATATTACATTTCATTCAAAGGCGCCTTTCAAGGCAACCGATGACACCTTAAGAAACGCAAATCGGCACAATATGCGCGCTTCTACCTTTACGTGCATTTATATTTTACACGTGACAAACATTCAAATCACCATAAATCCAGAATATTAAAAGCTGCCTAGATAACAGTCCCTAGATAGTTAGATCCGGAACCCCAAGGAACCTCCTTAGAACGTGACACAGCCCCCCCCCCCCAATTCACACAGGCCAAAGACCCAAACTGGAGTCTTTCAGGCACTTTTTATTTTTCCAAACAGGGGCCCTGAGTCACGCAGTCACCTGCAGCCTCGCTTCTGCGACCTCCGGCTCGGCGAGCCCGTAAACACGCTACTATTAATACCGCGCCGCCCGCTCCCCGTCACCGTCTCCGCGCGTGTCACCGCTTTTGTAAGGTGCTGTGATTGCGCTGCGATCCCCAGCCTCCCCCACCACCCCCCGCCCCGGCTGCGTGCTCTCACTCGCCCGCCTCATCTGATCTGTCGCCGTCACTGTCACCGATCCCGGTTACGGCTGTCAGCTCTTTACGCCCAGGGCCCTGTTACTACGGTGACGCTGTACCCGCCCCGTGCACGGATCTGTCAATCAAAACCGTTCTGCGTGGAGGTCTTAATAAGGGAACGGCCAACAACGACGACGACGATAAGTTATTCAGAAAGCATGAATAATAACAGGTACTACCATTATTATTATTATTATTATTTCTACTATTACAATCATTCTTACATTCATTTTTCAGCAAGCCCTCATTAAAGGTAGGCTTACAGAATAGCTTAATATTAATAATAATAATCACCTAATTTGCTGCTGTTAGAATTGCGGTACTTCTTTGCTATTTAATAGAAAGTTTGCAGGAAACCACGAACATAAACACGAGCATCTGAGCAGCCGTTTTGCCCACAGAAATCTCGGAACCGGGGAGCTGCCGTCCGTGCTGGTGGCCGCTAGAAACATTACGAAAGTGCTCCGATCGCCTGACAGGCCGTCAGAAGTTTTACCAGCTAACAGACCGATAATGTCGACCCAACGCTGCAGCTTGACACAACGCAGGACACAGCGAGAAGACCTCCCCTCGCGTCTGCAAAAATGCATCCTCACCCCCCCCCCCCTCCGCCAAACGGCACAGACCTCCCTGCGTCCTACTAAATTTGATTCCTCAGCCCCAAAGCGTGGAGCGCAACACCAAAGCGTCTCACTCCCTGCTTCCAGATTCACTGCCGCATTAACAAGATCTCCGGGGGCCCTGAGTGTGGCCCCCGTCCTCCTGCCTATCCGCGCCACTCACGACTTGCCGAAGCAACGCCCAAAAGGAAAACCCAGCCCCCCAGGACCGACAGAGTTAAAGCAAGACAATCTGACAGTCCGGCCTAAATAGGGTTTGACTGATTTCGTTTAGGAAATGATGTTGTCGGAGGCTTAATTAGCAAGAAACAGATTTTCATTTGAAGTGAGGTAATTTTCCACTTATGCTCTAATTCTTAGAGTCCTGCACACTGTAGACGGAAGCCCAAGTACTGGAAGAGAGCAGTTTATCATCACAGCCATTAGCAAAAAAAAAAAAGTGTCTTACAGAATGCAGTGTTCCTGCCTGTCAGATGGGCTGTTTGTTGGTTAAAATCTATGAGAGGCTCTTTGATATTTTCCCGGCAATAACGCTGCGAGAGGCGTGCGGCAGTCACGCTGAGGACACGGGACGTGTCACGCGTCACGCATCCGTGACGGCACGCTGACGTCGCTCAGTGCCCCTTAATCGTCCGAAAGCCCAGGCGCCTTATTGCGAAATGTCAGCGAAGCAGCATCTCCACATTACAGGCTAACATCTTCATTAGCCAATGAGCCGGCTGCTTTTAATATAAGGGTCCCTGCTGATCTCTCCTTGGCCCGTGATTTTTGCGACGCACCTGCTTAAGGCACAAAAATGCCCAGTTTCTAAAGTCCCAGGGGCAATAACACCAGAAGTAGTCGATACAAAATAAACAGCAATTAGTGATGCTGCCTGCTCAGTGCATCGTGCGACAAAAGACATCACGAAAAGTGTGATATTGTCCAGACACCCAAGATCACATATTACAGTAAATTCTATCCATCCATTTTCTGTGACCATTTGTCCTATTCATGGTCACAGGGGGTCTGGAGCCTATGCCAGAGGCTACGGGTGCGAGGCAGGGAACAATCCAGGATGGGGTGCCAACCCATCATAGGGCAAACTCACACGCCATTCAGTCACACACACGCACACCTAGGGGTAGTTTGGTAGCTCTAATTACCCTCAGCATGTTTTTGGACTGTGGGGGGCAAACCGGAATACCTGGAGGAAACCCCACGACAATCAAGGAGAGCATGCAAACCTCGAACCCTGATCCCGGGGGTGTGAAGCAACACTGCACCTCTATACCGCCCCGCTTACAGCAAATTTATTTTATATATAAAATGCTTTTACACAATGCCAGAAATGCATTTCCTGGATTGGAACTTTCAAGAACAAATCATGTTTGTTAATGGCTCACTAAATATCTAAATATATATTAGCTCACTAAATCTAATTTTGACTGAATGAAATGACAACATTACTACTATTACTATTATTATTATTATTATGATTATTATGAAATATGAAATGAGGTTCTAACTGACTTCCTGCACGGCCCTGTTGAAGTAACAGGAAGTGGCCATCAGGCACCGTCCCGGTCAGCCCCTCTCGACACTCTCGATGGAGAAGACGGTTCTGTGTTATGGGGAAGGTGGTCAGGACCCACTGCCACGTGTCATCGCCGCAGTGAAGAGGCCTGACAACCTACCCCAGGGGCAAAAGCTTCAGCGGCACCCAGAGATCCGCACGCACACGCCAGTCATGCACATGGCCGCTATCTTTACAAAACTATTTACCCCTTTTCTATCTGGGAGGGGTCCCAGTGGGTGGGGGTGGGTGGGGGGGAACCTGGAGGGGCAGGGAGCGTACCTGCTTGGTCATGGAGTCGATGAGTCTGACGTAGAAGTCCTGCTCCGTGCGGATGCCTTTCGGGGAGGGAAGAGATTCGTAGTGTTAAAAACAGGAACCTGGCACCATGCGACAAAACAAAATGCCACGCTTCACGCAGCTGCGTGTGCACACAAAGCAGGCCCAGGTGACAACAAGGTGCGGCACTCAACGCCGTCTTTGTTATTCAGGTACATTTGTAAATGACATACCTTTCATATGACACATGTGTAAATGCATTCTAATCAGACATAGCATGACATAATATTTTACTTCAATTCTTCAAGTTCTATATATAGAATATAAAAACAAAACAATTTCAATAACTTAAAACTGCTCATATTAATGTAAGGTAGCACAATTGTAATTATTGTTTGTTTCTGGTTATTTTTGTTACAAATAACAATTAACTAATATTAACGTTGTTTTTCTGTGATTTGTAAGTACTTTCACTTATCGCGTTGTCAAGCGCATTTACGCTATTCTCGGGGTTTGCGTTTGGCAGCTATTATTATACACAAATAATTTCAAAACACATTCATAAAAAAAACATTGTTATATTTTTTCAAACCAGTCCTTTGTTGCAGGGCGTGCGCTCTACAAAAAGACTCATCTAGCTGATTACTCAAGAAATGGGATCTGATTCGTCTTTAAAATATTTTTTTTATATTTCTTAAAGCCATTTTATATTAAGTTAATATCGTTTTAATAAAAAGCAGTAAAACAGCTCATCACAGGCAATTGACTACTTATATATTGATATATGGGGTGACCTTCGAAAAGATTTTAAAATAATACTATGTTTGAAATTCTGAATATGACTAGATTATGAATATATTAACAGCTCCATTGACCTCGGAATTAACAAAAAAAAATCGTGCGTTTCATATTATCGCTTGGTTTTGTTTTTGTTTAATAATTTCCAAGCATTTTGTTCGGTTACCCAGTGCCACATTTTAAATAATTATTTACCAAAATAAGCACGCTAAATATAATAACATAAAATTCATAATAAATCGCAATAAGGAAAATTAGGGGAAAAGGAAAAATCTATATTACTGTTAAGAAGGTTTTTCCTGAAAAGTTATGAATAATTAATGAAAAATAGCTAACACTGAAAATATTAACAAAACCGTTACTGAGCACTGGAATACCGATAATTAATTAAACCAAAATTGCTGTTGCCCCCTAGAATATTAAATGTTTAGAGCTTTTAGACACTACAAACATAAATTCGTGACTATTTTGACGTGGCCGTTTTACCGTAGCTTTTGGAAACGATAAGGAAAGGAGTCACGCACAAAATAAACCACACACCACCTACCATTGCTGTACAAAAGCTGTAATCTGTAATGTATTCCGTTATTCGTCTTCTCCCCGTTCAGCTCCTGCACAGATAAACATGGTTGTTACAATTGTGTCATCTGCTCACTAGGATTCGCCTGGGCTTTGACTTGCTGGAAAGTCACAGGGAGAAAGACGGGCGGACGGCCAGAATGTTGACGACAGAAATACATTAAGAACAATTCGGCATTATCTAGATTAAACAGGAAAATAATTAATCATACAGTACATGAAATATATGTAATAATATAAGCGGGATTCCCCACCCAAAAATGACCTTGAGTTGTAGTTAATTTTTTCCTGGGAAATGGGCGTAGGTTATCGTCTCCGTGATTATCAAGTGACGTTGTCAATTAGTTACTTTAAAAGTGTCAAAGCAACGATTCGGTACGTCAGTTTTCTTCAGGTGTTCAACCATCATATGCTTTCACTGCATGATTTATAATACTGTGCGATAGGCATTTTCAGCTCGCATTTTACACAAACCCAGCCAAGAATTCGAAATAAAATAAAGCTAAACTAAAATGTAAAGACGACCAAACTCGGTCATTTAAACATCACTGACTATAGTCATTGTCATAATTAAATTATAAGGGTACTGGGGGAATAATATTTAAGATTCCAGTACGCCATATGTTCAGTCGTGGTTAAAATTATATTTAACTATATTGGTTCTACGAAATATTATTTCAGCATTGCGAGATAGTTACATGGAAATCAGAAACACGAGGATTTTTTAGGCATACAAGATGCGTTAGAAACAGTTCCTGCTCATACTGCTGTTACTTGTGTTTATATTCTGGGGTGTATTAAATAAGTAAAACATTGGTTGTAATAATCAAAGATAATTTAATTGTTTAAAATACTTATAAAGCAATCTTATATAAGCGAAGGGATTCCTATTAGCACTATACGTATGTTCAAATGTGATAATAATAATAAAATGTTCGAACGCAAAAACAGGTGGTTTAATACAGGCGGTCTTTAGATTGAAAATGTATTGACATCATATATTACCAGATGTTTGATAATGTTTCATGCAATCGCAGAAGGTCTTATTTAAAGTAAAGAAACGGGTGTATCTTGAAAGACTGTTCCAAATACCTCACCAAATAAACATTTAAACGTTTTGAATGATCCAGCTCACCTTTTCCTTCTCGACGAACCCGACAAAAGATGTCCGTTCAATTTCCACCGGCTGCCCTTGTCTGTCGTATAGAGCCAAGACGAAGTGAAAAAAGTTTGATTTCCGAAGGTTGGACGGCGGCTGTTTCTCGAAGTGAGCGCGGGCGAGTCCCACTCCGCTGCGGGGAGACAGGGGAAAGGCTTAGGCGTTACAATAGCAGGACATTTAAAATAATCATGCTGTTTAGTTAAACAGTATTTACTTCGCCAACAAATATCGAATCTTTTGCTAAGAGGTTGTTTAATTTATCGTTAAATTGTGATAGCCTGTTTAAATTTCTCAATAATAATAATAATAATAATAATAATAATAATAATAATAATAATAAATCACCTAAACAAATTTAGCCGGTTTTATTCTTTTCTTTAGTTGTTATAAAGTAGCTTTGTAAGGAAAGGAACATAAAAGGGGGAAAGTAAGCAAAGCTATATTCCAAACACAACGTGCTTATAACTACAACGGCAAGTAGCCTAAGTTTTACCCGGCGGGTAAAGTCCAGATACTTTCCTAAATTTTACTTAAACATTTTTCTGTTGAAAACTAACATTTAATATGTATTGCTCAGCATTAGTTTTCTTATTATAATAATTCATATTATTATTAATGGCGCTACAATGATATCACTAATAACATATGCCAGTATTAGTAGTTCATAATAACACCATTGTTATTATAGTTGTTGTTCCTAAAAATAGTCTGGGGGCTCTTATGTTTTAGCCATAATTTGGTCCAGTTCGCTCCTTTAAGCAGTCCGGACTACAAGCAGCCGTCACCCCGTGCGCTCCGCCGAAGACAGGACGCGCATCGTTAAGCATCGAAACGCCGCTTTGACTGAATACTTATGAGAATTATGAGAGCACATGGTCTCTGAAGTACTCTCTGGATAATCACCGTGTCATCCGGGGGGGAAATATCACCTCGATAAAAAGGAATTAAACTTGAACAGATTGAATGTTGCGCGGGAGTCACTGGCGCGCACTTACGGATGCTGCCCGTCGGTTCTTACCTCTGAGCGGCCGTGTTAGCATCCAGGACCCCGGCCCCCTGCATCCATGTCCGAACCGCGTTCATCCCGGACACGACCGGCTCCTCTTTCATGCTACTTCCACTCCTTTGAATGCTATCCTGAAGCCCAAACATGAAAACGGACTCTTCCAGATCCCCTATACCTTTAATTCTACCAGCCCCGTTTCTCTGGATCACAAGTAAAGTGGGTTATAGCGCGGGGCTGCGATCGCGAATGTGCGAAAATGTGCCTGTTCGACCTTGCTTAATTAAAAAAGCACACATATGCATGCAAGAAAAACGGACTGGAGGAAAAACACGCCGAAAGAATCCAGGTTTCGCAAAAGCACTTTGGAGCAGAAGAAAAAAAAAATAAAAATATTGCGGACAAACGAAAACAAGCAACGTGTCACTTCACTTTGCGGATTTCCCTTCTGTATTACAAGCGGTGAAGAATAAAACCTTTCATATCGATGTAAGAAATAACAAAAATCAAGTCGATCATTCGGACTGGGCGGTATCAAGTGTCATCATCTTCAGACAAGTTATTTTCTTATTTCTTCCCCTTTTTCCGCCTCGACTTCCTCTGTTCAAAGCAAATTGATTGAGAAATCTGAAATGAAGACGAGATGGACCCTTGTGGACGCGTATCCCGTCTCGATCCCCTTGTTAAAACTGGAGTGATTTGTGCCCCCTTCCCTAAGGAATCCGATTTGACTGTTCTGAGAGCTAAACACAAGCACACCAGCCCCAAAGGCGAGGGGAGTAACCACGCAAGAGAGGCCAACCCTGAACAGTGGCCGGCCTTGAATACTGCTCTCCGTACGCCAACCGCGGCTTCAGTCGGCTCATTACATATTTCTGTCCGCCCTCTTTCATTAAACATGCAGCGTCATTGTAAAAAAAAAAAAAAAAAAGTCAGACAGCAGCCGAAACATATTTCCTTACGCCAGATGTCAGAAATAGCCGCACACCTGGCGTATAGTATTGTCACAGCATGGGCAGCACTATACTACAATTCATTAGACCCATTACTGATACATTACCTCAACTTAGACGTGATGCTGTAGTCTGCATTCCCGTCGAGTAGGCGATCTACGGTAACACCTTTTGCATCAAAAGGGAGACGGTCATCGTGGAAATCGTTTGGAGATCTATTATAGTGCATTTTTAAATTCTGACTTCCTGTAACAAATACGCAACTGTATATTTAAAATGCACGGGAAAAATACAATGCGTAATTGATTTAATTGCTTTTTTTTTTTTTTTGCAGAGTTCATGCATAAGAAAATTATAAGTTGAGCAGTGTTCGTTACACAAATATGTATGTAAATAGCGATTACATTTTAAAGAGTGCATGTATTACGGCAAAGTTTTTTTTGCGTGTTGCAAACATATTTATAAGGATATTTAAAATTTTGTATACATACAAAATCAAGTTAAATGTTGCTCTTCACATGTGGAGCCGAAACCAAGTTTCAATTCCAGTTTTAGGTCACATAACTTGCATTTTAAGGCAAAACTACATAATAAACGGAAGATAGATCATTCTATTTTTTCATACTTTTGTATTTGTAAATAAAAATGAGGCAACAATCATATATATACAACCATTCCCTGTATGGAGATAAATATGTATATATTACTGGGATATTTCAGCTTAACATTTCAATAAAATACCACAAAACTCCTGAATAGGTAAAAACAAAAAAATCGGACGGTGTTATCGACAGATGTCTGTAGAGAAGCGTAGCTCATCCCGTTAGGTATAGTTCACTAATTTGTCACCGTGGTTATACAAATTGTTTTTCAAGAGAGACCATTTCGGGTTTCCTTACGCTTTAGACTTTAATTTACGCAATGTTCGCAGGCTCTTTCTACACAAAACACACAAACAACTACAAATACCTCCCCTGGGCGCAGTGGTTAAGGAACTAGAATCTGGCCAAAGTTTCGCATTTGCGTTTAGTGAAACATCAAGCTGCAGAAAATGGGTCAACTGCAAAACTGTAAGTTACGTAATTCGGATGAATAAAACAAACTGTCAGCTGTATAATAAATAATCGGCAAGTTTTACACGCGGGACATATCGGCCACATAGACGAGAAAAACTGTGTCATAAAGGCGCAGCTTTAAAATCATTTTAAAGGGTATTTGGGTACCCAGTTTCGTTCTCCAACACAATGTTTACGAATCTTTTCTTGAATAACAATCGATAATAAGCAGATTTCCTAAAAAGTACGTCAGCACTTCAGATCCTATAGGTAGCAGCACTGACTGGCGCGCGATCATAGAGTCGAGATCCTCGCGTGCTTTAAAGCTGCTATAGAATTTAGATAAGTCAGATCATGTAGGTAGAACTCAGCATATTCCATTTTGATCATTGACATCGACCCAAAAATAATTTGGGCGGCACAAAGAATCTAGAGCTTCAGTTTAGAAAAATCAGGTCTCGATGTTAATTTCACAAACTTCCTTATAGGTTCTACTCGGTTTTAGGGAGTTTCCCGGTAATTGGTAATACATATTCAGAATATTACCTGTTTATTAGGCAGTAACCAATAATATAGCAAAGCAATGCATAAATAATTTAACAAGAATAATGCAGTGCAAAGCCAAAATTGAATGCTCGCGGATCGAACCATATGCGTTTATATATTGTAGACCGCATTCAAAAAGCTTAAGAATTCATTTTAGGAATAGTCCGGTGTTTTTCCTGTAATCCTTGAGCACGTGCAGACGTTAACGCTCAGTACGAAAAAAAAGAAACGAAAATGATGCGTTTACAAATCTTGCTGAGTTGCTGATGATGAATGTAGATCCTGACACTCCCCAGTGATGAATGCAGAGCCTCCCCAGCGGTTCTTAGGGGCCGCTTTACCTGCAGTGCCACAGATAATACGTAAGTTATCTCGGCATGTGTCATTTGAACTGAAAACCAATTTAACCTATTTAAACCTTTGGATGCCACACCAGCTACTGTCATCATCTGGGTATGTTTATGTGTAAATAACTGCGCTTCACACGTGCTGTTCACAATTTAGTCCCATTCTATTCTTACCTTTCTCATGTATTATTATTATTAATAATAATAATTACTTGTCACGCGGTCTATAAATTATACATGAAGAATATCTCCGCATTCTCATTACCAAATTAAATATACAAACATACTTCAAAGCATATTATATACACACAATATGTGTATAGACTATATATATGTGTGTGTGTGTGTGTATGTAAACATAAACATACACACACGTGTACTTGAGCAAGCAGCAAACAAGTAATAAGTGCACCAATAATGACCTTGCCCTTATTCAGAAGCATAACATTTTATAAGTAACATATATGTTCGAGAACGTTTCGACACTGCTTTGCAGTGTTCACGCGGTCGCTGGTAACATACAGTGTACTGAGAATGCAGACTTACTATACAGTTGACAGAATATGCTAGTATTTCTCAGGTCGACTTACTTTTGGAATCCTTGGCTAGATCTTTTGATTACTCGATGACATGAGATTTAAAAAAATAAATAAAAAGCCATTCCAGATTACAGCATGCAGAAGTATGTAATACGCAACTATTTGCAGAGGCTGGAATGGTATTGTTTCAATCCAAATTTGATTAACTATTAGGAGGCCTATTTCGTGGTAATTTTATTGAAGCCACAGCCACAAAACTGCCCTAAATAATTGATAGCTACATACAAGCAAATTATCGTTCATATATACTAGCAGATAACGTGGATGGTTTATTTGTACACATAAAACTGGCCACACGGCACATTTAACGACTTGCACGGCTTCACCGAAAAAGACAGTAAAATGAGGCAATAGCGCCATCTTGCGGTCGATTGAAAGACCAACCTTAGCCCGCTTTCTATAACATCAGAGAACATGGAGCCAATTTGACTGGCGTACGGATGAGTTCAGTACTGGTTCACGCTCCATTCAAAACCTAGTAACATCAAACGTGGGTATATTTAACAGCTATTTCCCCGCTACTTCATGATTTCTTTAGGAGTATTGTTCTTACACGTATACACAGCAAGAAATCAAAAGATTTCTGTTTTTATTATTATAGCACAATAACAACAGTAATCGAGTTTAAAGGAATTTAAACACGTTTTCCCTCTAACTAATCGGAAAGGACAGAAGACAAGCACAGAAACATCGAGAACACTTTTCCAGCCCAGTGTAAACCAAATTAACTAGACCAAATAAAAGTCAGTCATTGGTCCTGGAATGAATACACTTCTCAGTAAAGCAAACAAAACATCATCCTTAATAATTCAATAATAAATAGACGGACACTGACTACTGGCCGAAATAACAGTGTTCTTTAAATCATGACTTACTGCCAACTGCGCTCGATCTTGCACCCCGACAGGTAAAACTTTAACACAATTAAACGAATATATAAATAACGAATGTCCTAGTTTCGAAATATGATCTTAATTCTAACCGTGTTAGTATGACACGAAATGGGAAATTAAAGACAAAATCTTATTTTGGGCTTCTCCTACCAAACTCCATTCCATTGGAAGTACAGGTGACTAGTCTACATAATGTTACGAGGTACTATAATGCTCGAAAGGTCACGCTTTTATTTTGAAAGCGTGAAAAAGATTCATTTGCAAAAAAGAGTGCGATTACTCCAGTTGAATAATAGTCCAAAAAGAACGCCAGTAGTGTCCACAAAACAAGAAACCTGAAAAAATAATAACCATGAAAATAGACTTCGTGACCCAGAAGTTGGGGATCGGGCGCGATACGGGTGTTTGGATAAATCTCACATACACGGAGGCTAAATATGCTGCTGTTCAGAATAAAATACCAAGTCGTGTCGTGTAAACAAGAATGGGAAACCGGCTTCCCCGTGGAGAAATGTATCGGTCAAGTTTTACGGAATTACACAGTTCAGCCGCATTAAACTAATCAGCTCGCAGCACGGAATATATTATCTGCTGCCGTCGGTAAATAACTCACAGCAGTGTGGTTTTCACCTTGTGGTTTTCACTGTAAAAGCTGTCCAGGAAAAGGGCTTAAGAAAACAAAAAAAAAGAGAGCTTAAAACGCATTACGGTACCTGTATGTATCGCGTGACGTCAGGGCCGGGAGCGCGCGCTTAAACTCCAGACAAAACACGGTCGCGTTTAAAGTGGCGTAGCCCAAATGCACGGCGTTTTCAGCTTTTCCTGGCTATGTGGCTATATGGTTTAGTCCAGCAGTGATAGCCCAGTTTTCATTACCCCTTAAAACGAAATGACACGTTACATAGTGAGACATAAGTGAGCTCATTAGTAACAGGGCTTGATACTACATTATTAGTGTTCGGGATTTAAAGGGAAATGTTACTTACATAACATTACAGCTGTCTACCTACGCGAATTTACCAAGATTCCCATCCAAATTCCGCAAAAAGGTGCCCCAGCTGACGACAGCAAAATACCATCCGCATTAATTAGCAGGCTGATTAACACCGTAATGTGGTCCATGCGTTGAAGTTGCATGAACGGCTGACAAGCACAAGGCAAATAACGAGAGTAAAATACAAGGTTTCAATGTTTATTTTGTTTTAATACATTCAGTCATAAAAATGAGACATCAATATCATTTTATTGACCACAACTGAAAAACTCCAGCATTCACAGAGCACGTTTCATCTTCATTTGTATCCAAAAACGTGGATTAGTCTCTTAAAAGAAAAAAAAAAAGTCAACGCCACATTACAAATGCTAAAGATAAAAAAAATGTAAAATTTATACACATAGCTATTTTACGTTTCCGTTAAGAAAGTGTGCAAAAGCTATCAAGTTGCTACAAAATAACGAAAGTGGCATTTACACAGTGCGTTCATACAATTCGTGTATTCATTGTCACAGATGCAAAATGCCAAATAATACTGTAAATTCGCTTGCCGTTTACTCTGCTTGCACCAGCTCCGAATCCATGGGAGCGAGCTCTTCACACTAATTCGGATTGAAGTGCTCATTCGAGCTCCACTCCACTTCACATCGCCCGATGCAGCAAGTACTGGATATCAAAACCCCTTTTTAGGATATATGCGTGTATATACATGTGTATGGGCGTATATACGCACGCACACACATCTGTAGTTTCATTTTCCTCATACAAACCAAAAATATTTGGTATGTGACAAAGACAGACTTTGGAGCATTGCTATTACCAACATTAGTGCATACGCATTTGCTTAATACTAGAGCAGGGGCTATATTGTCAAAAAGGAAAAAAGAAAATAAAATCATACAACTACCGCAACAGACAGCGTGCTAGTTTGAGCGTGCTTAAAGCTTGTACATCAACTGCCGTCACCGTTTCAGGTTAACTGAAGTTTACCCCCGTCCTACAAGCTGTTCTATATGGCCCTTCAAGCGACACCTTCCTTTCAACAGCCGTAACTTTGACCAACCAGATATCCGCGAGGGAACCTGTAGCGGCGGGCGTGGCTTGGGTGGGCGTGGCTTTCAGCACAACACTGTGAGAAGAGCCTGAAAATGCGTGGATGGCTCTGGGTGAAGTGAAAATGTCTAAAGCCTAGATGACAGCGGCAATGGACAGAGAAAAACAGATTAGCCCACTTTTGTTAAAATAAATATTGAAATCGACGGGGCTGCTTCACATTGAAACGAACGGATTTGGAACCTGGCACGCTCTCAAATCCACACTTTAGCATGAAGGAACCGCAACCCGACATGTAAATATGACCCAGATGTTAGGGGTGAGGCTGATGAGCACAGTTTGAATGGACACAAAGCCCAGAGAGGCTCAACAGACATGGTGAGAGAGGTTAGCATCTACCAGGAAGCCGTACAGCAGAGATCTTAATCGTTGGCCCATGTTAATAGTACTGGCGGCCACGTTACATTCCTGACTACTGTCCAGCCCGCACGACGCTGGGCGTAGGCTCAAGACGTGCGCTGGCATGAGGCCCATTCTGTGGCACATCCTGCTCAGGCTCTGCGGACACCTGCGAACTCCCATCTGATTCCAGATCAGCGTCCACCCCGTCTAAAGTCTCCCCCTGCCTTTCGGCGACGTCGGCAGGCGGGCTCGCCTGCCCCGCCTCCCGCTGATTCTGATTGGCTGGCTCCAGCGCGTCCTGCGCGGCCGGGCTTGCAGCGGCTGGCTGCGATTGGCTCTTCAGCGGGCTGTGGCAGAGTGGGCAGGTCTCCTGCACATACAGCCACTTCTTCAGGCATCCGGCGTGGAAGATGTGGCTGCAGGGCGTGATGACTGCCGATCTCATGTCCTATGGCACAGAGACGTACAGACATCAACACTTCCGTATTACTACGATGATTTTATTACGTTTATTTAGCAGAGAATTAATCCCTGGACCAACTGGGGGCTTACGGTCCTGCTCAAAGGCACGACGAAGTGAATTCATTCCAAAGACAATGGGATTTAAACCACCCCCATTACAAGCTATTATTGGCTTCTACTTCTTAAGACACGAAAATTAGCATAATTTAATATTGAAATTGTGTATTATTCCTTCCGTTAAAAAAATAATTGCAGCAATAGGTTGTTATACACATTAGTTATGTTCTACAGCTTATTGGGAGTCTTGGAGCTGACAGGGAACTACAGAACGTGTTGATTGAGGAAGCGAGTGTGTCGTAGGGCGCCCCCACCTGGTAGCAGATGGCACAGATGTCGTTGTGCTGCTCCAGCTGCTGGCTGGTGGCGATGGGCATGCTCTTGATCTTATTGACGGCGTCCCTGCGCAGCAGGAAGCTCTGCCATCCCAGCTGCGCACGCAGCCACACGTTGTAGTAGGAGTGGACGAAGATGATGGTGGAGCCCATGACGGTCCACTCGCCGAAGACCGTCTCGGAGACGCCGTAGGCCACCACGCACAGGGCCACCAGGAACTCCAGCAGCCTGTAGGTGCCGTTGACGTAGTAGATGACGTCATCCATGTTCTCCACCGGCTCCTTGCGGAACTCCTCCACCATGAACAGCACGTAGATCAACAGCGTACCCAAAACCTACAGGCAACACACTCCTGTCAAGTCCTGTCTTGTTAGTAGCACAGTGGTGAGAGACAGACTCATAACTCAGAGGTCGTTGGTCAAAGTGCCAAAGGCATGAGACCAAAAACAAATTCATACAAATAACTGGGTGCTTCTCAACGCAAAGATCGCATCTGTGGTCTCGCCAAAAGCGATCTCGCCAACTTGCCTCCCAAGGACAAACGTTGGGCACAATGCATTATGGGATTGGTCTCGTTTGACGAGGATGCATCCGAAGTATCCTTGATATTTGGGGCGGGGCGAGAACGACATCCGGGGATTTTTATTTTTTTTTTTTAAATCATGCTCTGTACGTCTGCTACTAATATCGGAATTGGGCTTCGGCAATGGAAGACGACGTGAAACGGGTACGTGAAAGCACAGGTACGCATATTGAGAAACACCCATTGTCACTCACTTAACTGGCGTTAGCCTAAAAAAAAACATTCCACTGTATTGAATGACCTTTCCCTGGGTGACTGTAGCAGTATTTAGCAATGACAGAATAACAAAGGTTTTGAAATGGAAACAGGGTAGAATTACCTTCGCTATCGGCGCAAAACCAAGACGATGGATTTCAAACACCTAATGCCTCCCACTACTAGCACATATTATTACAGAATACCCCCGCGACCCCTGTAGATTTCCGAAGGGCTGTGATGTGTACATGCGCGTATGACCTCCCCCCCGAATGTGACGCAGACCTGCAGGGAGGTGAGGATGCTAGACGAGATGATGATTAGGAGCCAGAAGTCCATGTGGAAGAACTGGCAGATCATGTAGGACATGTAGGCTGGGAAGACCAGCAGGAAGAGACACAGGCTCACTGCCCGGAAGTGCTTCCAGAGACTCCTGGAACAGGAAGAGGAAGTGATGAGAGGATGAAGCACCGGTTAATGCGCAAATGTTCGTTTTACAGGGTGGTTCAGGAAAACTCATTTATATTCATAAGAAGCACTACCACTGATTGGCCAGTGAATGAGTTCAATGGCCAATCAGATAGCTCCTCTTGAATGAGGTTCCCCGAACCACCCTGACAAAAACAGGTAGCACATGTCGATGGGAGCACATTCCGTGGCCAATCAGGTAGTTTCTCTCATGAATATAAATGAGCTTTCCCAAACCACCCCGTAAATCAGAAATTCGTCCTCAGCTGGAGGGACAGCTTAAACATTTTAATCATCCTGTTAACACATCATCCCATTTCCAAAAGGGCACAGTGTCAGGAAATGAACATTAATTTGTACGAGTTACACTGCATATATTAGCTCTGGACTACCCAGAACCTTAATTGTCTCATCTTTGCGGAACTACAAAGACAGATTATTTTACGGGTAAAAAACCTCAGATATGGCAGAAGGTGCCGGAAGCTGGCTTACTTGTCCCTGGAAGCCCCCAGTGCCAGCACGATGGGGTCAGCGATATCCAGCATGGACTGTAAAATAGACGCCACCACAATGAAGAGGATGATGCTGAGGAGGAAGGCCCGGTGGATGACCTGCAGCTCGATCAGACCCGTCTGAACGGCCAGGATTAGCAGCGTGATGCCTTCCGTCATTCCCCTGGGGCAGCAGGGAAGTTCAGGGAGACATAAACCAGAGGAAAAACTGAGAGGGACAAAGACCACAAGAGGGCGGCCAGTCTGAGAGGGACAAAGACCACAGGAGGGAGGCCAGTCTGAGAGGGACAAAGACCACAGGAGGGCGGCCAGTCTGAGAGGGACAAAGACCAAAGGAGGACGGCCAGTCTTGAGAGGGACAAAGACCACAGGAGGACGGCCAGTCTGAGAGGGACAAAGCCCAACCCCCCAAAAATCACAACACATTTCCTACCTAAATCCTACAACAAACCCTCACACCCCCAAAACACCACAATAAACAGAGACGAGAGCTTAAGATACTACAAAATATTACAATAAAATATACATAAAATATTACAATATTACATTTCAGACACAAGCAAAACCAAGCCATTAGGCAGAAAGAGTCCTAGTGGTCTGTCGATGACAGTTTCCCAAAAAACAAAAATGTCACAAGCATCTCATTCTACCAAAACAAAAGGACAGATCACAAAACTGTACCATAAAACCAAGCAGGCCAAGTATGGTTTGCGGTTTACAATAATTCTACTCTCATCTCCTCCGCCCTAACAGTACCGTTTACCCTTGTTCCCACCACAGGGAGAACATTAAGCCGACGGAGATGAAAACAGGCAAATCGTAAAGCAGCCCCCAGTCATGTGACAGGTGGTATGGACGGACAGACGGACGGATGGACAGACCGACTCCCCCCCGCTCACCGGTGCATGGTGTTGTCGTTCATGAATGCACGGTAACCCTGCAGGTAGAACTTGCAGAGTGTGAGGACACCCAGTGCCACAAACGATACGGTGAAGACCAGGCCGAGTAGAGAATAGGGGGTGCTGCAGCACTCTGCGATGCTGAGATGTGGAGGAGAAGTAGGGAACAGGACAACAGGATTAGCAATAGCTCCATCACAGCAAGTAACCAGGCAAATCTTGCATATTTACATAGTGTTCACATAATGTTCCCGAAAATTAAGAGTAGACGTCGACGACTCAGCAGCGCCCCCACCTGGTGAGGAAGAGGAATAGCAGCCTCTCGCGTGAGGTGGGCTGGTCACGGGTGCTGAAGTAGGTATATATCTGCAGGGCGAACAGCACCAGCCAGAAGCACATAAAGAGGACCGGCAGGACCAGCTGATTCCACAGGGACATCCCAAGTGCTAGTAACCCATAGACCTCCACCACCTGCAGGGGGCGATAAAAGCCAACTGTAACAGGCAAAGCCAGTGATGGCTTAGAGGAAAATCACTGAGGAAGGAATTAAAATTACAGCATAGATGGGAGTAAGTCTTTGGCAAGCTGAGCAGAAACCACACGTGGAGAACATAGGCCTAATTCCGGAATGGGTGAGGGCCAAACGCAGAATTTTTTCCAAGCCTGATCAAAGCTGGGACACATTTTAATACAGAGCGTCCAGGAACTGCATGCTTACACTGTTTTATGACATAGTAACCACAGCATCAAAATCTAAGAATATTTATACCTAACAATTATCATTTCCATTAATTTTTTGGTACATATGCTGGGCTGTAACTCGGATCTTAAGACGTCTGGGGCCCGAAGACCTAATTTGTGAGAGAATTCTCTCTCTGCTCAGACTGCTACCTCATTTAAATAGGACTTAAAACATTATGGTCTGCTTTTCATTAAATTACATCAGTTTAGTCATATATAGTCACAATTAGGTTTCTGTTTTTTTTATTTTGCCTTTCAAATGTAATTTTAATGCCTTACTTAAATGCGTATTTCTGCCTTTGTAAAACACTTTGAATTGCCTTGCGTCCGAAGTTACGATAATCGTAATGCTACAAAGGTTTTGGGAAAGGCAGCACTGGACTAGGACTGCTTGTATAGAATTCTCAAACATCTGAGCTGACCAATCATCATTCGGGGTTATTGCACCTCATAACTTTCTAGAACTTTCTGCACAAATAAATAACCACATGACATGGAAATGCTCTGACCTGCACCAGCTCCCGGTAGGCCGTCTTGGCCAGATTGTACGGCACCAGCAGGTTGGAGGCCAAGAAGTATAGCACCTCCAGGCCCGTGAAGATCATGGCGAAGCGATTGATGAAGACGATGGTCTCCAGGGGGACGAGGCACAGTCGGGCCACCAGGGGGAGCAGGTGGGCCGAGAAGAGCCAGATCTGCTTGGTCTGCATGACGCAGGAGCAGAGTGTGCAGACCACTAGCTGACCTGCGGAGCCAGGGTGAGAGGTCAGACCGCGGGATCTGACGGGAAGCACCACCCCTCCCGATGAGCCCCACGGCACCAGCGAGGACCGTCCAAGCACAGGAGACCAGACCCAAGACATACTTGCAATACAGCGTTTCAGTAGCACAGGGTGGGGATTTGGTCGTTACACCCTGCTTTAAATCTTGTTGTTTATGGCATACAAATACACCAAATTCTGTCGCTAACTAACTATGGGTAAACCAATACAAGGGAAGACCATTTATCATGAAGCGGATTAGTTTGTACGGCATGCAAAAAATAAATAAAACAATAATATAACTAGTGGAAACTACATGAAACTCCCCAAAGAGGGATAGAATTATAAAAATCAATCATTCAGTATTAACTGACAAAACAAAATAATAATAATAATGTTACACTGATATAGTGTCTTTCACAAACCCAAGGTTAAAAGAAGGGAAAGAAGAAAAGGATCAAGCAGTAGAGAGAGAGCAATATCCATTAAACAGGAAAGTGTTTATGTCAGATTTAAAACGTGCAAAGTAAAGAACAGCCACAGAGCGACTGGAGGAAGAGAATTCCTACGTTTGGGGAAAGTGGCAGTGAGTGACCACCCATAGAGAGAAGCCTGGCGCCATGGATACCGAGCGGATAACAAGTCAGCAGCCGGTAAGATGACTGACTTTCAGTGTGAACGTTTACTGGCCTCGTTTACACTTCGTATTAAAAAAATGCGTCTTGGGCGATCGGATCGCAAGTGAACAGCTGAGACACATGGCCGTCTACACCTGCGTCTGCCAGGCGTCTCCAAGGTTTCCAGCCGACTGCTCGTGCTCAGATTTCGTTGGTGCTCCGCACACCGTTATTGTGAAGTGCTTGTCGGGGATTCGTCAGACCACAATGGCGATTACGCTACTAAAGATATGTGGTGGAGTGTGTCCCAGACCACATCGGCAAGTGGTTTGAGCGATCGGATCCCAAGGCGCCTTGGTGGTCATTTGATACTTGTATTTGGCGAAGTCAACTTGCAATCCCATCACCCAAAATGCATTGCAAAACCAAGTGTAGACAGGGCCGAACAGTGAATGAAAGACACTTTGCATACCATTCAAAGCAAACTGAGCCGTGTTCTTTCTGCGTCACGCAACCGCGGGTCGGAGATTGCGGCGCAGCAAAGCGTGTCATACCCTGTCACCTCGCCCCAGGACCGAAATGAGACCAGAGCCAGCGGGAGGGTGATGACCTGTCATTTTGACTCAGCAGCAGTGAGTGTTATCCAAACCTCACGTCAGGAGAAAGACCCGCACGGCGTTGTCAAAATGTAGGTCTGGTTCCCATTTTTACAATATAGTATCCTCGTTTATATTAAACTCTTGGTAGCTGAACCTTGTTTCTCTGGTATCATTCAAAACATCCGGGGGGGGGCTCCTTGGGGAACATATTTAAAAGGTGCGAGCTCACCAATCAGAGCCGTGATGAACCTGTTCATGGACAGCGGCTCCAGGTACAGCGGTCCCTCGTACCCAGAATCCAGTTCGCTGCGAACATAGTCCCTGAAACAGACGTCGCCATGGTAAGATCTCTATGGCAACACCAATGGTTGCCGTGTAACATGCCCTGTCACAATCAAGAAATCACACGACTTTAAGGTTCCACTGTTCCCTCTGATACAGTTTCATAAGTGATGCAGACGGTTGGTTGTCATATCCCATAAACAAGCATGCGACAGATATAACATTGGAATTTCTCTCTGAGTTTGAGACTGAACACAGTTCACATCTTCTCCTGGCCGAACATCTGTTCTAAATGATCAACTAAAATCACTGAACCCAGCACCTGCAGATGTCCTCAGGGGACAAAGTACGTATCCGTCATTAGTGATGCGGAATTTTGCAGAATGCGAGGAGGATGGAAAAAAAAGGGCATTCAGGGGATCAGGACGTGAAAATCGGAGAGCAGGTGTGGGGCGCACTGCGCATCACAGGGAGCACTGCGCATCACAGGGAGCACTGCGCATCACAGGGAGCACTGCGCATCACAGGGAGCACTGCGCATCACAGGGAGCACTGCGCATCACAGGGTGCTGCACTCGCTCTGCCGAATATCAGTGACTGTCATCTTGCATCATCATGAAGTGTGACCTTCCGGAGGCATTCAGCTTTGCAGGAGAGACTCACACGCCCATTAAAGGTTATTTTATGCACAGGTTAAGGGACAAAACCAAAGTCACACCCGTTCGTCCATCCATCCATCCCTCCCTCACATATCGCAGACGCAGATTCCTTTGCATCTGCCCTGAAGATCCAAAAAGGCTCCAGCACACCCCCCCCCCCTCCCCCAGGCCATATCATTCAGTAAAGCGCCGAATAGCCTTTTGATGAGGTGGGGAGGACAGACACATCCGGGTCATTATAGAAGCCGAACTTCTGAGGACAGACAGAACCAGGCCCCTCCTGAGGACATCCGAGGTCAAGAGTTTTCATTACCTGGAGACCTGATGTCCAGCAAAGAGGAGCAGGGCTGTGAGGACGTACAGGTAGAGCCGGACCAGGTGCTGTCGAGGGAGCGTCAGAAGAACTAGACTTAGGATGTAGCCTGCAAAACAAGTTCATATACCCCACTGTGAGGTCATAAACACACCGTCGCTAGCGGCAACAGATGCGAGTAAGTACACAGTTACAGCACATTGCAGGGAAGGAAATGATCCTTGTCGAACAACAAACTCGCGAGAACATACCCCAGGCTCACAAACGAAAGAGAGGAGCACAATATTGAAATAAATTTAAGCGCTGCTATTATGACATTACAAACCCCTGCTGTAAGTGAGCTTGCTAGCTGAGCAGAGCTGCCTGCGTTGCAGTTTGGCTGGACAGGATTGGCGTTCGGATGCCATTAAGCGTCAGGTGAATAAGGTAATGGAAACAGGTGCGCAAAACCTGGCATGAAACCGGGCGTGACTGCACCGTCCAATCTGGGCGCAGCCGAAGCACCAAGCTTCAGTGCACAAAATATGCGATGAGTCAGCACTTCTCTGCGAGCAGCTGTAGTACGAATAGCTTCAGATTCCTATATATAGATGATTGCTCCATTGACTTCATATGACACCCCATTAAAACACCTCACACATCCAGCTCTGGATGATCCCGCCGAAACTGCAACAGCTAACCTGAATGCACGACAAGAAAAATCACGTCCACTGGAGGCATCTTGTCTTCTCGTTTGTATTAATCTGAACACCACGCTCCGTTCTGAAACCGACGTTTATAGTTGTGGGCTTTTTTTTCCTGTTTCTTTTTTTATTAATCTCAAGTCAATGAGCAGGTCAAGACTAAATGGGGAAGTGCCACTGAACAGTAAGGTCCCCAGGCTAAGAGGTCACTCCAGGACGAGGAGGAGCTTCCTCCTTCACCCGAGGACACTGTCGTGACATGAAGACCCGCGACGCTGCTCGGTGACCTCGGCAATCTCAGGAATGCTAAGCTAATCGTCACCGAGACGCACGAAACAGCAGAGGTTGTGAAATGTGCTCTCTCCGTTACGCCACATCTAATCAGCGATTTCAGCTGCCTGTGTTTAAAGTTGACCCGGTCTAATACATCAAAGTGATAAAGACTTGGGCTCGAAACTAAGCTGGCTTTCAAAGTCGGGGAATTCCGTGCGAAGGTGCGCTTGCCGTCACTCCCGACACGCTGATGAAACACCAAGCATTTCTAGCATGTAACTTAACATATGAATGTTAAGGATCTGTCTAGAGACAACCCCCATGTTCAGGACCCCCGACTTGTACTTACCAACAGCCATAAAGCCTCATATTAATAATTCAGGTTACACACGATAATCCCTAATAAGGAACCTGCACATTACTTTGGGATGCCTGTGTAAACATTACGTGGTTTCAGCGCTACTAAAGTACTGAGTACTGCATTTACTTTTATTTTTACTATATAAGAAAATTATCATCACAGTCGGGTAATTCAGGTCCAGAGAGAAAAAGTCCAGACCGGGATTTTGTTTCAACCAACCAATTGAGCATAAAGAGTCACAGTCACAGAGTCACAGTCACAGAGTCCTCACAGTGATTATTATTATGCGTTACTTTTTTTCCCCCGACTTATTTACTTAAATACTCTGCTAACTTAGAGACTTCGGGAACAAATCTCGTTCGTAACCTGGGAACTGCCCTGCACATCCAACCCAGTCGGACACACAAAGAAATAAGCAAAATGGCTCCTGGACTCCAAGCTTGCCCAATGCTCCGAGGCATTTTGTTGGGCAATATGAGTCTAAACGTCGCATTCATAACGCTGGATTTGCCCAGTTATGGGGGGGGGGGGAAAAAACCACCATTTATGACGAGCACGCCCTACATTCAGTTATGGAAAAAGTCACAATGAGAACGGGGAGTGTGATCAGCCCAGAGAATCTTCTGGAGTGACGTAAGATAGCGTCCTGGGGAGAAACTGGAGCTAGTTGACTATTGCCAACACGGCTCTCCCAGAATGTCACACTGTCCCTTATGCCAGCGTGTGCACGCAGGCCACCCCCAGGGCACCGGGCAGCTCTCACGAGACACCGCGGTGCACGTGGCAGCGGAGTCTCACGGCGCGTAAAACCTCCCTCCGCGTTCAGCCGCCTCTTCGCTTTACGGAAACTCCCGCCGACACGTAGGCGACCTGAGCCGCGACTCCACATTAAATAAAGAGCATGTTCTCTTTCAAGAAGAACGAATAATAATAATCTGCTAGCTGCTGGTCGCACATACAGTGCGCGTGCACACAATCCCACAGCATCTCTGGCAACCCACGCACGCATCTGAAATCCCCTCCAACGTTACCCGTAAACCGACACTGACATTAAAAGGCCCCCAACTACGGAGGCCCAGCTGATAAAAAAAACCGCCGCAAGAAAAGGCGTAGATATTAGTACATAGACTTTCAGTTATTTGCATTGTCCTGAGCCGTCTATATTGCTGATGCACAGTCATAAGCCTACTAGCGTGGGTTTTTCTAGGAAACATCTGCCAGTCAGTTTCGTAGTGGAAGAGACTGAGCAGAAGTCGGTAGTTGATAACTACAAACAGCGACATGATGCAGACCGAAGCAAAAATAAACCATGCTAACCACACTGCTGACAAACTGGCAACCGGCCTCAACAGCGATACGTCACAGAACCGATCGTCCGATTCGCTCAGAGCTGTCAGCGGCAAGATTCAAGCCCGAGTCCGGGCAGGGCTGCCACCGAGGCCCAGACACACCTGCCTGAGGCTGAACGCAGGGCACACACATCCCCCCCAACCCCATAGCTCCAGAAGAGTTTCCCAATCCAGTCCTCGGGGACACAGCTCCTGGGAGGGAGCAAAAATGTGGCCTGTCCAGGCAAATAACTGGGAGGGAGCAAAAATGTGTGCCGGGTTGGGACACACTGCTCTAGAAGTGTTACATTTCAGAAAAATAACACTATGTACTTACTCAACCAGTAAGGAAAACTGGCCGATAATGGGCAGGGCAATAAAACTGTCTGCACCTCAGTCTGCTCACATCTAGCAACACTGTCATCTGGCAGCGTGTAGCTCAGAGGGTTGCGGAGTCAAATCCCCGGGCCGACTATCCCCGGAAGCATGAACGCTGCTTTGGACAAATGCTAAACAACTGTAAACGAGACCCAGGGGACAGCCATGCAGCGACGACACAGTCCCTCCGATTCAATGGTCCTCATGTAAAATCCCAGTGCTCTCTGTCCCATAGTGAACGCCCTGCCCTCCAGAGCACGGACGCCAAGGGTTCCGCCGCAGTTCTGAGGCTGTTGCAAGGTACCCAATTACCAAGTCTTAATTAGCAATATCTAAATTCCCCATTGATATAATTAAAACGGCAAACTTTGGTGCAGAGAGATTACGAGGGGAAAAATATATATACAGGACAGCAGGCGCTCGTGGGAGTTTTACTTACACAAAAATGTTCTGGGGGCAGAAGGAAAAATGATTGGTTCAGAGAGATAACCAATCAGATTGTAGAGAAGGTGGATGCCTTGTCCCTGTACACATAATATAATAAAATTTCAAATGCCCACTGCAGTGGTACTAAAACATAATGCCACACACATACAGCATAAAAAAGCAACCAGAGCTGGGACCAAGTCATCTGATTGGTTAGTCCCACCTCCTCTAGTTGCTTGGATACACCTCCTCTACAATCTGATTGGTTCAGAGAGATAACCACTCATTCTTCCTTCTGCCCACAGAACATTATTTGTGCAAGTAAAACACCCATGAGTGCAGCATGCAGGACTAGGGCTAGCGCCTTATGCAGTGTGACAAGCAGGTAAACACTGATGTCAGCAAGCAGAAATTCGCTGCTGCCCTTTAAGAAAACACCGGAGATTATTATCCCACTCTCCAGGATAGAGGGGAGGGCACTGGATTATCTCTGACTGATTTAGTCGGTGGAATCCGACTCTGGGCACTCTGCCTGCCCCCCCCCCCGTTATCTCACAGACCGCCCCGCCCCCGCAGGGAGATGGGGGAGGGTCGGGCGGCTGAATGAGCCGAGCCGCACACGAACGCACGTGCCCTTTGTAAATAAGCCATGAGGTCAGAGTACGGCATGGGATGCGTTACTGGAGATCGCATGGATCAGCCTCCCCATTCAGAATGCGACCCCAGATATTACAGCGTGGAGAACCATCGCAGTAAGCATGGCTGGAGGACAGAACACACACACACACACACACACACACACACACACACACACACACACAGAGAGAGAGAGAGAAAGTGAAGCACCAAACTAACACAACCACACCATTTATAGCCAAATTAAGAGGCAGATGATTTAGAAAAGCAGGAACAGAACCTACGCTAACTGGTCGTCACTTCCTCTAAAAACAAAAAAGCAAGATGATGACCCTGATGAATCAACTTGAGAGGGGGCATTTAACAGATAAAAGTTTCACCTTTCCCATAATAGATTCACTGTATCCCCCCTCCCAGATCAGTGTCACGTGACCAAAGGGGCGGGTCTAACGCAGGCAGCTCCGTGATTGCACTCTGAGATGGGGAAGTCGAAGAAGAGAGGACCCGACACTGGTCTATGTCCATCTTAACCTCCTGAGTCCAAGGCTTTTGTTTGGTATGAATGTTTTATTTCCTTTAGCTATTTGGGATTAGTATTACCTCATAATCATAAAAACCAAACATTATTTTTTTGAACAATTAATAGTTTTAAACTAAAAATGATGTCCTTATATGAGGACATAGGGTCTCAGGAGGTTAATCACACAAAAGTCCTCTCCAAAGTAAACCAGCCGTATTTTACAGAAAATACTTTTCAAGTTTTATATTAACTTGAAATCACGGAAGGTGATGTGCAAGTGCGGGTCTTTGAAGCCAGATACCACAGGAGGTCCAACCTCGACGTTCCATGTTAAGCGACAGTTCCACAGGTTCGAAAATCCATCGTCTCATTACTTCTGCACTACAACAGCGTTACTCAACACAACACAAGACAGTCTGATATCCAGAGTTCCCTTCGAACGTTAAAGTCAAACCCATCAACTCAACGGGCAAAACCTCTGTCGAACGACTCCTGCCACAGGACATTTTGCTCATAGACCGCGCACCTTTAAGTCAGATAATCTGGGCAGCACAGAACAGGCCATATCCAGAACATCAACACCACCCGCTCACAGTCCGGCTCTACATCTCATGAACAGAAATACATTTAACGTCAGTCCTGTGATATCCCAACAAGCTGAATCCAAAGTCGAGCTACAGACTATGAATGAATAAATACCTTTACAGGCAAAGCACAAGGTACGACAAAACTGGGAGGAAAAGTCAAGGAGGATACAAATACAGAAAAATAAGAGGAATAGAATATAAAATAAATACAGAAAACACCACAAGTAGAATATTAAATTGAACATAAAAGCAAAGAAAAATGTAAATGTACAAATAAATAGAAAAAAATGAAAACAAATAAAATAAGTTATGTGGCAGGCACTCTCCTTGTGATTCTGCAGTGTAATTAAGAAACATTCCACATGGTAATCAATCAACAGTTAAGCGACCGGTTGAAATTGGGGGGGGGGGTTGATACTGACCTACATAGTGCAGGTAGAGAGCCAGGTACTTGTACTGGAAGAGGGGGTTGTTGTTGAGACTGCTCCGCTGGATCTTCTGGAAGAAAGAGCTGACATCCCACCTGTAGAGCACCTCCAGCAGCATGATGCTGGGCACCCGCAGGCCTACGTTCAGCACCGCCTCCAGCTTCTCTTTCAGCACCATGGCTGAGGGTCGCGGCGCTAAACACTAACTGGGGAGGGTGAGGGAGAGAGGGAGAGAGGCGGCAGGTCATGAGGACCTATCCTGGAGCACGCAGTTTGAAAGGCTGTCTGGGGCCGAGACGGGGGGATTACCGAGAGTGAAACAAAAACAGCTGCTTTACGGGAAAGAGATCTCTATTGGGGGGGGGCGCTCGTCAGTCAGGTTTTAAGGATAGATTAGATACAAGCCAAAAATGATGCAACTGCTTCTAAGGGAGCCAGGGACAACAGAGAGGCAGCAAGCTTAGTGCAGTTATCCACCGCACTGGCGTCCCA